GGCATGGAAACGTGACTCCAAGGGCCACACGGGGCCCAGTTACTGTCGCCGCTGACCTGGGAAGATGTTTGCAGGACTTACGGGGGTTTAGGGTTTAGGGTATAGGGTTTAGAGTATAGGGTTTAGGGTTTAGGGATGATGTTCAAGCATGCTTCTTTCTGTTGGCAGAGGATGAACATTGTGCCTTAAACGGATCTTCGCGCGTTGACAACAGTAGATATTGCAGAGATGATTGCGGGGGATATGAACTGATTGGGTCCAACAGACCCACCTCAAATTTCTCTGATCTCTATCTCCTTTTCGCTCTCTCTCTCTCTCTCTCTCTCTCTCTCTCTGTCTCGGTCCCAGAAAAAACCCCAACATCCTGAACTCGCAGCCCAAAACCCGAAACACTCAGTGAGTTGAGCCCTCAAGGGGGTCCTAATTGGCAGAGACTTAGATGCAAAGGCCCGCAACCTGTTCTTGGCAAGGGCTCAGAAGGGTTTTTTGCGGGTTTCTAGGGGTTTAGAGTGTAGGGTTGTTTTAGGGCATAGAAGGTGTGGGGATTCTGGGTCGTGGGGCAGTCTTCAGCACCTGAGGGTGCAAGAGTCTCTAAAGTTGTCGGTCATACCCCTGCAAGAGGCCAAGAGAGTAGAGTTTCCTTGAACCGGAAAATACACAGAGAGCCCCCCCCCCCCCCCCCCCCCCCAAAGAAAACAAAAACAAAACACACATGAAGACCTACCCCTTTCCGTCTAGTCTAGGGAATCGCCGCCCTTCAGTCATCCCTGTCTCCTGTCCCCAAGACTCGCAACCTGAAGCCCAAACCCCAAAACATGCCCTATGAGCCTGATACACCCACACCCTATACAGGCTATACACCCTACAAACCCTATCCCTAAACCCTATAAACCTTATACACCCAATAAACCCTGCAAACCCTCTAAACCCTAACCGCAAAACCCAATAAACCTCATAAACCGGCCTACAAGCCCTATAAGACCCAGAAGCCCTATAAACCCTACAAGCCATATAAACCCTATAAACCCTAACCCTAAACCCTATAAACCTCATAAACCCCAAAAGCCCTTTACACCCTAACCCTAAAACCTAAACCCTAAACCCTAAACCCAAAACCCTAAACCCTAAACCCTATAAGCTCTAAACCCTCCAGCGCACTGCTGGGAGTCCCTGACTTCCGGATAGCTCTGTGGCTTGTGCTTCGTCAGGAAGTCAGCTGCCATCGCCTTTAGGGTTTAGGGTTTAGGGTTTAGGGTTTAAGGTTTAAGGTTTAGGGTTTAGGGCTTAGGGTTTAGGGTTTAGGGGGCTTATAGGGCTCAGGGCTGACAGGGTTGTCTCATAAGCTCAAAAAAGAAACCCTAGAGGCCCTCTTATCCCAACACGTTGCCTACCCTGGAACCTACCAACCGCCTAAACCCTAAGATCTAACCTTCTGAGAGCCAAGCATCCTCTTGGAATCCCGATATGAAGTTGGGTATATATTTCTTGTATCACCAAATGGACACCCTATATGCACACTCACCAATATTAAAAACGAACATTATATGCACTCACCAGTAACAGTAATATAAACCCTGCTTCATATGTTCATACCACAATCGGCGGCGGTAGTGAGGGTTTAGGGTTTAGGGTTTAGGGTTTAGGGTTTAGGGTTTAGGGTTTAGGGTTTAGGGTTGCAGAATTGTTGGGTATGGTGGTGAGGTCACGGCGAGGGTGGGGACATAAAGTCTCGCAAAGTTCGGCTTGGAACCAGCTGCTTCAAAAGAAATCTTGAATTAAGAGTTCGGCGAGAGGTGAACGGAATTTATGGCAGCAGGCTCGCGGTACCTCTGCGCAGCCATCACCAAGAGCCAAACCCCAAAACTCTGAACCCTGAAAGCCTGAAACTCTAAACCCTCAGCGCTAAAACCCTAAACCCCTGAAACCCTTAAGCCCTTAACCCTAAAACTCTGAACCCTCAAACCCTGAAACCTAAAACCCTAACGGCCTAAAACCCTGAAACCCCAAAATCCAAAACCCTAATACCCTAAAAACCCCTAAAACCCTACCGAAAACGCGAAACCGAACAACCCTAACATGAAAAACCCTGAACCACTACACCCTGAAACCGCAACTAAAACCCGAATCGCAAGGCAAGCCCCCCCCCCCCCCCCCCCCAAAAAAAAAAAATAACAAAAAAAAACATAAATAAATAAACAAAAACGAAACCACAAACCCTAAAACCCTGAACCCTGAACCCCAAACCCCAAACTCTAAAACCTCTGAGAGACCCGGCAGTGATATCCCCGTGCAGCTGCGGCTCGGGGGCTCGAGCATGGAGGGCCGCCTACATGGGGAGGGTTAGGGTTTAGGGTTTAGGGTTTAGAGTTTAGGGTTTAGGTTTAGGGTTTAGAGCTTAGGATTTAGGGTTTAGGATTTAGGATTTAGGGTTTAGGGCTCTAGGATTCATGGGGTTCAGGGCCCACTGCGCCACAATGAGAGTTGAGGGTTCCACCTTCAACTGACCGGAAAACACATATTTGCAGGCTTGAGGGCTTAGGGCCAGAATTTAAACCACAACGCGCCCGCCTCCCTGAAAAAAACAGGCTGCATCCCTGATACGCTGAATAAGATTGCTACAACCTACAACCAAAGTCACCGTACTTATATAAGCCTATGCTTAAGACCCATATACCTTAAAGTTACCCTTGCTATACTGAAAACCCTACTTCTAAGCACCCGTGAGCCTACAAGTAAACCCTAAACCCTAAACCCTAAACCCTAAACCCTATAAACCCTAAACCCCACACAAGCACCGAAAACCCCGCAAGCCACCTCGAGTCGGCCGCTGCCAATGGCCGGGGAGTTCGTCGGCCTGCGCTCAAGACTACTTTGGAGGTTCATGGTACTTATCAACCCGGTTTAGGGTTTAGGGTTTAGGGTTTAGGGTTTAGGGGTACTTATCAACCAACTATAACTGCACTTATAACCATAACAGGGCACTTAAGGGGCTTATAAGTGCCACGAACCTCCAAGTACTGTTTGCTTAAGAATCCCCCCCAAAAAAAAACACATACACACACACACACACACTCTTCCCTCTAAAAGTAAATAAAGCGGATTGTTCTTGTCTATCTTGGGGCGGTTCTTAAGAAAATAGTAGAATACTCGCGGCTTTTCGGGGATGCGGGTACTTCAGGCCCCAATTAGAACAGCATTTAGGGTTTAGGGTTTGGGGTGTAGGGTTCAGGCTTTTGGGTTCAGGGTTCGGGTGGTTGCGCCTTCCGGGGTTCTGGATGATTTGGGAATTGGGGTTGGTGTGCGGTTCAGGTGTTTTGGGGGGTTATAGGACGGGGCCGGTACCCTAAACCCTAAACCCTAGACCCTAAACCCCTAAACCCTAAACCGTATTGGGTTAGTGTTTGGGGAAGCTGTCGAGCTTGGGCTTTCCAATTTAGGGTTTAGGGTTTAGGGTTTAGGGCTTAGGGCTTAGGGTTTAGGGCTTAGGGCTGAGGGTTTGGGGTCTAACAGGGTCTGTGGGTTGGTTGGCGATGGTGTCAGTGCTTGAGGCCCTGAAGTAAGCTCAGACAGACTTTGCTTAGGTTTTCGGTATCCCGAGACCCGAACAAATAAACAGAATCCTAAAGACTTGAAGGTGTGCCCTGAAATTCAAACCCACGACATATATCCTAAAACCTAAGCGTTGAACCCTACACATCCCTACACCTTTGACCTCGAGCAAAAAGCCTGAACCCTGAACGGCCCTGAACCCTATATCCTACACCAGAAACCCTGAATCCACAAGCCCGGATGTTGGCATTGCAGGCCCATGCCCGGCAAAGTGAGCCGTGATCCGAAGCTGGGGTTCTTGGGATTTGGGCTGGCTTTGCGCAATGCGTGAGAAGTGGAGAACCCGAGCTGTTTGCACCCGAATCGCCTGTACAAGAATGCGAAAACCCAGTGGGACAAAACGCGCTTGCCACAGCGCAAAGCGACCCTCCGACCGAAGAGGACAAAAACGAGACGAGCCCTGGATCATCCTGTGGGAGGCTGCAATTCAGCTGCCGTGCCGTCCTTCACTTCCCTGCGCTGTAGCCACAGCTGTCGCCCGTCACTCCGTCGTGTGCGGGGGCCTGTGCTTGCTCAGTTGCAGTTGCGGTCGTCTCTTCCTGTGCGCGCTGCACTACCGTACTGACAGCTTCACGCAGTTTCTTCTTATACTTCTCTATCGCGGCTTCATCTCGCGAGGACTTGATTGCCAGCGAAAGCCACGTCCTAGCCTGCTCCGGCTTAGAGTCAGCCTTAGTAGCCCAGAAACCACATCATAATAAGGGCACCCCTTTTTAAATGGTTGGTTACTTTATAAGGGAACCCTAAACCCTAAACCCTAAACCCTAAACCCTAAACCCTAAACCCTAAACCCTAAACCCTAAACCCTAAACCCTAAACCCTAAATCCAAAGGGTACCACTGGGCTGCCAAGCAGCCAGCAGAGCAGAGCCGACGTTGGAGCAGGCCGTCGCCACCTCGGAGTCTCCACAACCTTCGCTGCTGAGTTCTTGGTTGCACTCAGGAGGGTAGCTATAAATTAAACTTTTAGCTGCCCTAATAAGAAACCCAATAAACCCAAAAAAGGTAAGGATCGAACGTTACAGTAAAGTACCACAAAGAGTTCATAAGCCCCCCAAAAAAGTGTACACTTTCGGTTCTAGAGGGGATTATGGTATTTTTAGGGTTTAGGGTTTAGGGTTTAGGGTTTAGGGTGTACTCACTCAGCTACTAAGCAACAGCGGGTGCGCAGCGCCCACGCTGCGCTTGCCTCGAATGCTTCGGCTGCCATCGCCATTTTCTTGGTTTTGTAGAAGAAGACCCCCTCCGCGGAGCATTCCATACACGACTTGCGGTTCTGCTCAAGCAGTGCGTCGTGCTCTTCAAACGCCTCCTGGAACTTTAGAGCGCTCATTTGCTGCAGCATCTGTCCAGTCCTATTCTGATCTTGGAACCCTGGCAAAAACTACAGCCTTAGCAGCTTCTCAGGAATAATAGTACCCCAACAGTGAAGATTCTTCCCAACACATCCCTAAGAGTCCAGGTCTGTGCCAGACCTGTGATGAAGTGCCGCTGCAAGGCTTGCAACTCAGCATTCACATCCTGCGGCAAGGGGTGGCCAGCATGGTCCCTGAGGGCCTTACCTGCAGCTTCAATCAGCTCTTTGGAGGACATCTCCTTCGACAGGCGCAGAAAAAGATCGGCCAGCTCTTTCCGGTTCTTGGGGGGCATCGCCTTGGCCAGTTGCAGCAAGGCATCGAGAATGAATCTAGGCACGTTGGCGCCCTCCGGGGACCGCAGCCGGAGCACGCTCGCCAGGAATAAGCACCTGTCATGATCTCTCCCAGGCCCAGTCTGGATCCGCAAATTCTCTTCAGGTGACGTGCCAGTAGTTAGGTACAACGTACTCCAGACCTCGGGACTCTTCAGACTGGTGGCAAACTCCTGCCGGGCAGCCGCTAAGAAAGTGCCCAAACCACTGCGGACTGGAAGCCTGTGCACAAGCTCATTCACTCTGGGCGGTAAGAGGTTTCCAACGCTGACGTCAGACCAGCATGTGCCATCAAAAACCAGCTGGGGCTGCTGCGTGCCGAGCTCCAACAGCTTCAAATGGTCGCAAGCCTTTGATGCCGACGTAATCAGTGGCTCCAACGGATGTTTCAGAATGGTTTTTGGAGCTTTCTCAAAGCCCATGCTCGGAAGAGATGCAGGTCCACCAGCAAGCACCTCCACGCTAATATCCTGCATGTTCACCCCACCGTTGACACGTGGGAGGTGATCCAACGGGATTGGCAAATAAGAAGCCTGCACCCCCTGAGCATCAAGGAACTGCCTGATGCGAGTCTGGTTCCTTTTCCACTCAGAGCCTTGTCCGGAGCCATACACATTGGAGTAGACTAGCACTTTCCGTTCCTATACTGATCCTGGAACCCCAGCAAAGATTACAATTTTGGCTGTTTCTTCGGAATCATACTACACAAAAAATATTTTTGGCTTTTTTTTTTCAGAATAAGACCACCCAAAAAGCAAAGAAGATTCTTCTCAAAAACCCCTGTAAGGTTCCGTGCCAGCCCAACGTAGCTCGTCAAGCAAGAACTGCAGGTCCATAACCAGATCAACATGACTCAAAGAGGCCTAGGATGGAACAAAAAAAACCCTGCGAAAAAGATTCCTGAATAGGATCCTCTTAAACCCAAAAAGCGGAGGGTGTAGGGTGTAGGGTTTAGGGTTTAGGGTGTAGGGTGTAGGGTTTAGGGTTTAGGGTAAGGGAAAATATAAAATGTCCCAAGGGCCTGCCTAGAGGCCCCACTGCTGCCCATCACCACACAGGCTGCACAATGCCACAGGTTCGTCGTGGTGAGGCCATGGATCCCATGCAAACCTAGCAAATGAACTTGGAACCCTAGCAAAAACTCATAAGCTTTGCTGTTTCTTTGTTATAAAAGTACCCAACAGTTCATTTTTTTTTAAAGAAAAACGACATATTACCAAGTACCCCTAAGAAACCGGAGCGCCGAGTCACACGACCGGTGCAGGACTGCGGCACGTCGATGAAGGCAGCCGGCGGCATCTTGTCGTGCCTCGGTTGCCCAGAAGCCTGGGATTGAAAAGGGCTGCCCTTTGCTGCCATTTTTTGCTTAAATTGGGGTTTAGAAGGAACCCTAAGCCCCCCCCCCCCCCCCCCCCCCCCCAAAAAAAAAAAAAAAAATAAATAAATAAAATATATATATATATATATAAAGAACAATGGAACAAGGGTACTACTGAGCATCCTAGGCGCAGAACCCGAACTTTCTCCTGCTTGAGTTTCTTCGCCTCAGCAGCAGCAGACCCGTCCAAGCGGACGTGGCACCGCTCGCCATCCGGGCAGTCACAGCAGACGGTGCCAAGCCAGCCTAGACCCAGGAGGTATCCTAGTAGCCCTAAACCCTAAACCCTAAACCTTACACCCTAAACCCTAAACCGCCTAAACCCTAAACCCTAAACCGCCTAAACCCTAAACCTTAAACCCTAAACCCTAAACCCTAAACCCTAAACCCTAAACCCTAAACCCTAAACCCTAAACCCTAACCAAAAAAAGGAAGTAAGGGCCACTTCTCCGGGTCCCAGCAGCCATTGAGCTCCGGAGCCTTCTCAAGGCTGTGGAGCTGCACACGATCGCCCTTGTCGAGCATGATGCTCTTCGAGGGGCAGAGGCAAGAATAGGGTTTAGGGTTTAGGGTTTAGGGTTTAGGGTTTAGGGTTTAGGGTTTAGGGTTTAGGGTTTAGGGTTTAGGGTTTAGGGTTTAGGGTTTAGGGACATGAACTGAAGGCCGTCGTTCCGCTCACTTAGCTTACTCTCTGACTAAGTATGGATTGACAGACTAGTGCTTGCAATGCACTAGCTTCGACACTCACTACGTCTTGAGGCACACATGAAGGCATGGATGTTACAAACCACACTCCCCCTAAACCCTAAACCTTAAGCCCTAAACCCTAAAACCTAAAGCCTAAACCCTAAATGAGCCCTTAGTCTACACCGCTTCTGTGTCCGGCGGAAGCTCTGGGCCTCTGAACCCTAGCCCCTGAGGCTCCAGGGGCCTAGGGTTTAGGATTGAGCGGCTTTGGGTTTGGGGTTTAGGGTTAGGGTTTAGGGTTTCACTAAGGGGTGAGGGTAGCCCAGAAACATCGAGACGTATTTGTGTGCATGAAGCCCTATAAAAGCCCTAAACCCTAAATCCCTCAGGCTCGACACTGCTCCTGTTTTCGCAACGAACGCGATGTGCCAGGGGCAACATGAACGGGTCAACCGAAGTGGTTCAACCCAGAGTGGCAGCACTGGCAAGAGGATCTAGGGGTTTTGCCTTGGACCCTGAAGGTTGTACCCTTGGGTTTGTGGGGCCCTTTCAAAGATCCTTAAGGTAGTAAAATTGCAAGGGCCACACGAGCAGCATGTTGAAGGGAACCCTTAAGGGGAACAATCTTAGGGGCACGAGTCTTAATCCCTTGAGAGGAGAGACCTTCAACCCTAAAGCCTAGATTCCCACACTCTCGTCTTTCTTTCTTAGTAGCCCAGTAGCCGTATTATCATAAGGGCACCCTTTTTTTTGGCTGGTTACTTAATAAGGGAACCAGAACCAAAAAAAGGGGAAAAGGGTACTACTGGGCTACCAAGCTTAGTGTTCGGGCTTCAGTTGCTGCCGATATGTATACAAGGGGCAGACAGCAGCTTACCACGAGCCTCACATGCAGTACTTCTAGCTTTACAGTTTTAGGTTCAAAGGTTTAGTCCTGGATGCACTCAGGGTTTAGGGTTTAGGGTTTAGGGACTAGGGTTTAGGGTTTAGGCCCCTCAAGGGTGTTTAGTTCAAACATTTTGCGCCCTATCCTTTGGCCAGTGACTGGCAACTCATGGTGGGCTGCCCCTTCACCTGGCTTCAGGAACAGCGCTTTACGTGCACACATATGGGGTTTACTATATTAGGGGCACCATTGGGGTCCTTATTATAGTGGGATGCCACATACTATTTGGGGATCTATGTTAGGGTCCTTTATTTTCGTAAGCCCTCATATACACATATACATATATATATATATATATCTCTCTGTCTCTCTCTATCTCATAGGGGTACTCCGTTTATACCCCAAATAGAATAGAATCCCCCTAAAGGGACCCCCAAAAGGGTACCCCCATTTTCGGACATCCCCCTTAAAAAAACCAAACCTTAACTGGATTGTAGTACCCCTAACCTACGCTTCCTGAACAGGCCCTAATAAGGGGTTTAAGGAGGGACCCCAAAAGGGTACCCTTAATCTCTGCACGTGGTTGTGCGCTGTGCGTTCTCCCCAGGTATCCTCCCATCATGGTCTACGGTCTCCCCTAAACCTTAAACCCCAAACCCTAAGCCTTAAGCCCTAAACCCCACCCGAAAACCTAAAACCTGAAATGGGTTCCCCCTTACAAGTGTGCCTGCTCTAGAATTTGGGCTGGTTGCTGCTTTGTACACCCTAGACCCTAAACCCTAAACCCTGAACCCTGAACCCTAAACCCTAAACCCTAAACCCCAAACCCCAAAGCCTAAACCCTAAACCGTGAACCCCAAACCCTAAACCCTAAACCCTAAACCCTAAACCCTAAACCCTAAACCCTAAACCCTAAACCCTAAACCCTAAACCCTAAAAACCCCCCCCCCCCCCCCCCCCCCAACAAATTCCAATGGCAGGCAGGTGGCTGGACCGCCAGCACGATGCCGGCCCCCACCTTCTTGTCATGTGGGACCCGAAACCCTAAACCCTAAACCCTAAACCTTAAACCCTAAACCCTAAACCCTTAACGGCCCTTTTGGGGGTCCTTCTTATCATGCGGTCCTATAACCGAGATAGCTTATAGGAACATACCCATGAACCCCGTAAAAATAATTAGGATCATGCATATAAACTCTATAAACCCTAAACCCTGAACCCTCTACCCTAAACCCTAAACCCTAAACCCCCAAACCCTGAACCCTCTACCCTGTATGATTCAAGGAATCTGCACAATTTATAATAATTCACACTAATTGTTTTGGATTTTCCGTCGTCGCTAAATCTAAACCCGATACCTTTATTCCGCTTTTACGTCGCAGCTAAATCTCGCTAATTTGGTTCCGTCGCACACCTAAAGAACAAAAGGCAGGAAACTCACCCCCCAAGCGAATGAGCCACCCAAGCGAATTAGCTGCCGATTCATTCTGGTTCGTTGCCTTCTGCCCCCTAACCTCTACCAAGTGAACTTAGCTGCTAGTTTGTCTGCTATTGTTAATATAGACTATTGCATCACTTCACCCCACACCTTTCCTCCCAGCAAAAATCAAACCAAACGAATTAGCTGCTAATTTGTTCGGTCACCCCTCCACGGTTGAGCCTCGATCGCCCAGCGAATTAGCTGCTAATTCGTTCGGTTCGCAGTTTAGGCTCGTCGCAACGAGTTAGGTCAAAACCAAACGAATTAGTTGGTTCGCAGTTTAGCCTCCTAGCACCAGCAAAAATCAAACCAAGCGAATTAGCTGCTATTTCGTTCGGTTCACCCCCCCCCCCCCCCGCCCCCGCCTCCACCCGGACCGCCGCTTGCTGGGCAAGCTTGGGTTGATTGTAGTGCCAGACCAGCAGAAAACAAAACCAAGCGAATTAGCTGCTAATTCGTTCGGTTACAGTTTAGCCTCGTAGCACCAGCAAAACTCAAACCAAACGAATTAGCTGCTAATTCGTTCGGTTCACCCCTTGGACCGCCGCTTGCTCCAACACCCCTGAACACAAGCGGGTTCACGCAGGAATTTGCGAATTAGCCGCTAATATGCGAGCGAATTAGCAGCTAATTCGCGATTTGGTGAGGGGGATTCGAAACGCGATTCTTCGCTTCTGAAGTCAACACCTTGCCCGTGTCACTACAGAGGAAGTGGCCCATTTAACGCACACTGCCTAATCACATTGAATCACATGCCCACACAACTGTACACAACCACAAACGAATTAGCCGCTAATTCGTCCGAACCCCCCTCCCCTGTCCACCCCCTACAAATTGAATTCGCGCGAATTAGCCGCTGATTCGTTTCCCAACCCAAAATTGATCCCCTCCCCCCCCCCTGCCACCCATCCTCCCCACCGCCGCCGCTCTGCCTACTCCCCCGCTTTTTGTCTTTTTACTTCCGCCCCCCTGCACCACCCCCCTGCCCCCGCCCCCGCCCCCCTGCCCCCCCCCCCCCTGCCCCCCCTCCCATACCAGTTCGCGC